TTTCTGATGGAGTTTTTAAAACTTCAAAAATGTCTTGGAAAGTGATACAAGTGGTGTAAATGACCCGGTACCTCAGCTGCAACATTACCACCTTGGCGCCTGACCTAGTCAGATGTCAGAAGCTCAGCAGGTCTGGGTCTGGTCAGTGCTGGGATGGGATAGCCCAGGAAGATCTACTGTACATGCTGAGTAGTGTCAGTGGCCCGGCAGTTGACCAGTATTTCCAGTCCAGTGGCCCAGTATGGTGACTGTGGGATACTGGGCTGTAGGGTGCTGTCCATTAGGTGAGATGTGACGACAAGGCCCAGATTACAAGCTTGTCAAAGATCCTTTGCCGCTTGTAGAAACTGTATAGGAACTGACCCTGGTGTCCTGGCTGATCTCCACTCGTGGCTCATGCAGTCTGTTATACTGAAATCCCCCCTTCCCCTTAATTCAGCTGTTGAAGCTCTTTCTCACATGTCCATCTGATGTGTGCAGTAGGGGGGATGCCGACACATGGCCCAGGTTAGGGCTACACCTCAGTGATGGATGAGGTGGGTCTCCTCACATGTGCGGTGTGCTTTGGGATCCTTTGAAAATTGATTGTCCATCAGTCTGGGAGTTTAATATTAGATTTGGGGGGGTCTTGGTCCAGAGAGTTGTGAAATAATTGGCAATGCACGTTGTTTTAAAATCGCATGTCATGCAGCCTCTCCTGTTGGCAACAGGAAGTGAAGTAGCAGTGTCAACAGGTCAAGACGTGGAGGAAGGATGCACTGCAAACCGTGAAGGTGAAGATCGGACGGATCAATCAAGCAATGAATGAGCGTTAAGGTTGTGCGGGGCCTTGCAATCTCATTTTGACCTCAGGTGATGGGTGCGAAAAAAACAAGCTGAGATTCAGCACATTTCCTCCGGTTACACTGAAAGAGAAGCCAGGACTTATATTAGTGGAATCTGTAATACATTTTCATTGCCCACTGGCAGGAATAGGTTTTTCCAAGATGGAGCCCCAGCATCTCATCACTGTTTTTGGTCCAGATCAGTGGTTCTGAGTGCATGTGTAGTGCACATGAGCACAGACGTGGGAAGTGTAGCCTGTGCCTCTGAGGCTCGCTCTGCGTTTACGTAACAGGTGGTCATAATTTGGGGGTTTTCGTGTAAGATGCACTCAGGAGTGTGGTATGCGATATATGTAAAGCAAATGCATTGAACCAGTTCTGGTTCACACTGTTAATTATGAGGGCTTTTAATAGATAGCAGTGATTGCACATTTTTGGGGGAAATACAGTAAGCTTTGCTCTATTCAACAATGTGTTACTTTGCAGTGACACTGCAAGTGTATGTTATGTAAAGTCTAGGGTTGGATTAGGCGGACTGCTTCATGCTGGTTGAATCTTCTGAAGTGATTAAAATTTGTCTGTGTCTTGTCCGCTGAGATGAGATTTTTGGTGTGCCCACTTTTTACCTTTCATGAAATTGCCTTTGAAAATTTCATTGGTGTCTGACGAGAGCAGATTTCAGATTGAACTGAGAAATGAATAGCTTCCTTTCTGAAGGAGCACTTGCCTCTGAGTGTCACCAAGGTGCTGTATTGTGCTCCTCTTTGTGTGAAGAAGACATGTTCCCATTGCTGAATTCAAGTGAATTTTAAAAAGCCTGTGTTCTGTACTGGCCTGAAGAAAAGAATACAAGGGTCTTAGCACACCTTTTAGATGGTAGCACACCTTTTATTCCTTTCTAATAGAATGGAATTGGAGATAAACAGGGCAGAGGTGGAGAGGGAAAGTGGCGTAATGACCAAGAGATGGCTGTGTACATCTTGCTGAAAAAGCGGATGCTTTCCATTACAATACTTACCGAGAGGCTGCGCTTCAGTCCTGCTGTGGTTATTATTTTACACTTGATTAATAACACGCTTACATGTGCAGCAGCACGAGCTTGTTCTCAATACCGTATGGCTTATAATTTGTAATTAATTGCATTTATAGGATGGCTTTTAAACCCAGTGAAAACAGGAGAGCTTCCTTTATAGGCTGGGGCTAGCACAAGCCGCAGTATGTGTGGAGACCACAGAGCACCGGCAGCCTCCCGACACACGAGATCACGTCGAGCAGTGAAACACGACTCCATCACTTGAATGAGCTGGAACTTAAAGTAGGCCAGACTGAGCAAACTCAAAAGTCACTGCAGTGGACATTGTTTCCAGGGATGTGCTATGTGTAGAACTCGAAACGGACCTGAATTTGTAGAAGCTCAAAAACCAAGTTTGCATTAGGTTGCTGCTAAAACGTGAAAGCTTGCTTGGTGACCTGATTTAAAAGGCCAACTTTTAAGTCATTGAAAATGTGTGTTTGGTACAGCGTAGCTTTTTGCTTGCTGGAAATCTTTCAATCTCTAGTAAAACGCCTTAGACAAACTGGGAACCTCAAAAGATTTGTTTGCAGATATGCAAGGGAAAATTTGCATTGATTCGGTTGACTTTGAGACATAGCTGGAACTGGATGATGGTCTGTGTATGAAATTTGCATTACAACCATTTAGATCGAAGTGCTTTTTCAGTTTTTTAGTAATCTGGACATACAGTAAGGGGCCACAGCATTGAGCATCTTTACTAGTAATTCTAGTAATAAGCTCCTCATCAAAGGAGCTCTGCCTGCGATGTGGGCTATGGTGTGGTGTGCAGTTTTCGGTGTTGCAATGTGGCTTTTAATTTGTTCACAGCTGAATTCATGAAAGAAACATGTATAGAGTAAAAGATATTGCTTTCAATTATTGCTAAACACCAGCTGCCGAAAATGTCAATTGTTGTCTGAGATGGTTGTACAGGAAGTTTTTTTTTATATAAATGTACAGTTGTAGCGGACTGCTCCTGTTCAGGCCCTGGGTTGGCTCAGAAGATCACTTGCCTGGTGGCGAGAAAACGTTTTCTCTAAAATAGATTGTTGTAACACTTTGTTGACCAGCATTTAAAAAAAAATATATATATATAAACCTGCTAACCTAATAACGGAGAACGTTTTTACTAGAAGTGTGATTACTTAATGAGCTAAATAATTACTAGTTCCTTAAGCTGTTATACAAAAGTAAATTTGAACACTTTAATGTTCTGAATAATATGTCCAACCTGATGGGTAATTTTTATGCACACTGATGCTTTTGTGTTTTACGATTTTTTTAGTAGAATTCTGAAAGCTAAATTGCTTATTGGAGAAAAATTGTTAAAAAAATACTATTAACATTTTGGTGAATTTGATGGTGCTCATGAGAATTCGGATTTGAAAACATTGCTTTTATGAGTCCTTGAGTAATTTTTACTTTAGGCAGTATCGTGCATTTGCTCTCCTTTGCTTTGTCTTTTGCTGAGTCTTCGATTTCACGCTGGGTTTTAAATAGGGAGTGAAACCATCTGCCTTTCATTTAAGAACATGAGAAGAATCATAAGGTGACAGTTTGAAAGGGCTGTCACAATGTTAGAAAATAAATTAACCCCTTTATAGCTAACATTTAAAGGGGAGCTGCAGTGCTAATTTTATATTTTGGTGCTAGAAATTGATGAGTGCATTTCAAACCACAATGAAAGTAAAATGTACAAAGTAACTTCTGCCATATTCTGCGATTTAGAAGGAGGCCACAAAACGTGCAGATCACGTTGGAATATCCCTGCTGTGAAATGACTACTGCACAACCTGTACTTAATTTGCTCGTACATCGCATCACATTACTGTAGTCATTACAGTGACTAGTGAGCAGGAAGGGCTGCCTCACATCGCAATTGTCGCTCTCTCCCATGGCGAGATCAGGGGTTTCCAAAACATGGCCACTTACAATAGTTTCACAGAGTTCACAATTTTGTTTAATTAGACAATTTTGATATAATCTAATTTATTGTATTACCAAAATTTAATAACCGAGAAACTGGGACTTGAGTTCCCCTGTAAAAGGTGTGGCACAACAGTAAGATTCCTGTGCTCGAGAAACTGTTCTTATAAAAACAGTAACTTGTAATTTGTCAGAAGAAGACCCACAGGGGTCCCTTTAAATGGACACTAAACCTGGCAGACTCGACTTGATTTTTATACTTAAGGGTCCCAACATTCATGTTTGTGGTTACTTATGTGATTTATTTCTACAATCAAATATGAATTTTATTAATTGTTAACCTCCAATTATGTCTAAGAGAAATGGGTTAAATCTTCAATGGAGGTCAGGGCAGCAGGAGTTATGTGCCCTGACTTACAAACACTTTCTTTCACTATTTTTTAGTCTTTGCTAATTCTACGTTCTGAAATGAGAGTTCGTTAACTTTTCGTACATATGTTTTATCTTTGATTAGTTCTCTTCATACTTTATAAACTTTAATAGTAGTTCAGTAGATTAGCTAGCGCAGTATGAACCGCTATTGATTTGTAAACCTCTCCTGCAGAACTGGTAGGCTCAACAGGATTTTCAGATGTTGTTTTATACTTCTAGAGCTTAGATTTGATTTAATTCATTTTGAGATCTTTATAGTCCTTTTATTTTAACTTGAATTTTAGATGCTGAAATAAGATGCGTTCCAGCCCTCTAAGGTTGAGGTGCCGAAGAAATTGAATGTGTAACATTCCATCCTCAAAACCTCATGATTTTAGTGTTTCTCTTATTTCAAAAGACTCAAAGTGGCGTCACCTTGAAGTCCACCCTCTCTATTTGCTCTTTTCTGTTACTACCATCTGTTTATCATAATTATTTGTACAGGAAACTGCGTACTAGCCTGAACGCTTGTTCTGTTTCTTGCCATTATTGAAACCTAGACTGTCTACTCTGGGGTGGGGAAATAGGCTGGGTGAGATTCTGGATCAAACAGCTACTATCTACCATAAGGGTCTGGAGGGCAGATTGTTTGCCTCATAAGGAAGGTTGCAAATACGTTCTTATGACTGAATAGCTTGTCAAATAAAAGGTGCTTAGCTCTGGTAAGAAGTCCTAGAAGCTGATGTGTCGTCCTCTTATCTCCTGCCTTGTCTGCTTGCCCGAAGGGAGGAGGAGGAGAGCCTGAGGAACAAGATCCGCGCGGATCACGAGCGGGCCCTGGAGGAGGCCAAGGAGAAGCTGAAGAAGTCCCGCGAGGAGCTGAGGGCCGAGATCCAGACGGAGAAAAACAAGGTGGCGCAGGACCTCAAGAAGAAGGACAGCAAGCAGCTGCCACCCGTGCCCATGCCCAAGCTGGTGGGCATCCATGATGGCGATCCAGGGGATCCTGATGTCAAAGAGAAGCGAGACAAAATCCGAGAGGTAGGAGGGCTTTGGCTGATACGGTTAAGTTGGGGAAATCAGAGCTATTAATGGGAAGACAAACATGGATGAGTTGTAAATTACAGGTTAGTGTGCCTTGGTGTAATAAGTATTGGCGAATTTCTGAGGCATGCTGTACATTCCTCAGGGCGTCTCTTCTGTGTCCTTGACTTGGTTTTTCAGGCGAGTCCTTATTTGAGACGACCTTTAATGCATGGATTGATCCTGGTGTATATATATGTGGTATGTGTGGATCATCAACAGAAACCTATCGCTTTATTTGTGATTGACCCTGATTCGCTTCAGTGCCTGTGTTATACAAGCGCCCAGATCACCTCAATATTGAGAGAGCTGATTGGCCGCAGGGGATGAGGTGATTCAGTTTGTTGAATGTCAAGCCTGGCGAAAGGCATGAAACAAAAACGCGGAAAGGAAACAATATGTGCCCCATTTATTAAGAGAGCTATGCCTTTGTGCCACTGGTGTGTTGGAAGCTGGACACCATCTACACACTGGCTCTCTCCATCTGGAGTGCCCACAGCCAGACGTTTTCGGCCTGGAGCAATGTAACAGACAGAATTCCGATTGTAGAGATTGATGGCAGCTGGACTGCACAGTGATCGGGTCTTGGGCTCTCACCTTCTGCCAGGTCTGTGGGTTCATCCTGATGTGGCAAGATTGCAGCAGGACAGCGTGATGTCCTCATGCTGCTTCTGTCACACCTGCTTTCTTGTGAGATGAGCATGTGACGGTGTTTTTCCAGATGTGCTGCTCCCTAGACTTGATCCCCCTGGAGCATCTCGGTGCTGAGCTTCAGTGACCTGTGACATTTAGGGCTTGGAGACCAGTGAACAGGTGCATTGTGGTGCAAAACTCAATGAGACGCGTGAGACAATCTCACACAAATAGCTCTGCAACCTTGAGCAAAGCATGCATTGATGATGTATAGCTTGTCACCACTGGAAGAAATACCACACACTACTAGCCTGGGGATTTCATTGTAGGCCAACTGTTGATCATCGTAGCTGATTTACCTACAGTATGTCATGACTTTTTAGTATAAAGTCATTCCGATAAAAAAATTTGGATCAACCCACTGTGATCACTGAGCCGATCCAAGCAGCCTTAAGCACACAGAAAATTGCAGTTAAAGAAAAAAAATAGTAACTTGTGTTGTGATGCAGTTTAGACCCCAAGTTAATTTTTGTATTTCATTGATAAGAACCATCACCACAACTATCCTAGTCAGATCACCAGCACTGTTTTTAGTACAAATTTCTAGTACTGTACAGTATAATCCATCTAAATGAAATAACTTAAAATGTAGATCTAGGTATTAACCTCTTCTGATTATAAAATACTGAATATAAAATAACCTCTTCTGAATATAAAATAATTAGGTGCTTTGCCAAACAGTCAATTTATAGGTTAGAAAAGGACTGAGTTTGTCTTGATTTTCCCCACTTTCATACACTATGGGTGTTTCATTGGGCTGCTACAGTATCTGCTGTAGTAAACATCCCAGGAAAATGGAAGGTGCATAATTTATCATGTTCAGTTCATGTTTTTTGGAGTCAAGGCTGCTTGTGGGATTTTGTGATCAGCGTAGGGGTTCGGTACTGATTGATGATCTGCACACTCACGGATGTATCACATGATTTCCACCTGACATAATAAAGATTTAATTTTTGCTTGGTACAGTTAGCAGCAGTAACAGTTTTTTTCTTTTGAATCACTTTACCTCTGTTATTTCTGGAAATCTGGTAGTTGGTTGTCGGTACTTTGCTGAGACAGGAGACGTCTTCTTCTCTTTCTTAGCATTTTCTACAAGGCAAACGGCTGAATCTGGGAAAATGATTCATCTAGAGCGGACAGAGTAATTAGAGGTGATCTGGAAATCTTCCCACCATGAGTAGTGTGAAGCTCAATATCATGACTTGGATGTCGGCACTGTCATTTGTCATTATAAAGAGGAAAATTATACTTAAGCTTCTGGATTATGGTTTACAAAATCCCCTTTGCAGTATTCGGGCTGGTAGAGCCTGTGTTGTATAATCAATCTCTGCAGCCTCTAGGTGGGCCTGTGTCGTCTTCTGGCTGCTGTTAGGGCTTTGAAAGCTGTTATATGAAGCCCCACTGTTTGATCCTTGCTCACCTGGGAAAACTGCTGTTCAGCACTGGCTGGCTGCAGTATGTTTAATTCTCCTTCATGAGAAACCCGAGCACAGCCCCTCTCATCTGCCACCGAGAAGAGCTGCCCCCTGCGGTTTCCTATACCGCTCTGATAGAGGGAGGGCTGTCTTTTGTCAGCTGTCAGTTCGCTTCCTTTTTGTCGACGTGCCCCAGCAAAGCGTCTTGTTTAACGTTCGGCTCCTTCAGTGTAGCGGCCCGGTTTGAGAAGGTCTGCACAGCGGGCCCGTCATTTTCAAGGGAGCTCGTCATGCATTAGACTTTGTTTGCTGTGTGCTGCCATAAGCTTCATATTACTTCAGCCAGCAGCCATATCACCCTGCAACTCACAACTGGCAGCCCACTGAAGCTCAGCAGGTGTGAGCCTGGTCAGTACCTGGATGGGAGACCTCCTGGGAAAAACTAAGGTTGCTGCTGGAAGAGGCGTTAGTTGAGCCAGCAGGGGGCGCTCACCCTGTGGTCCATGTGGGTCCTAATGCCCCAGTATAGTGACGGGGACACTATACTATAAACAGGCGCCATCCTTCGGATGAGATGTAAAACCGAGGTCCTGACTCTGTGGTCATTAAAAATCCCAGGGTGTTTCTCGAAAAGAGTAGGGGTGTAACCCCGGCATCCTGGCCAAATTTCCAAATTTCCTTTATCAATCAAGGCCTCCTAACAATCCCCCTCTATAAATTGGCTTCATTACTCTGCTCTCCTCTCCTCCCCACTGATAGCTGATGTGTGGGGAGCGTTCTGGCGCACTATAGCTGCCGTCGCATCATCCAGGTGGGGCTGCACACTGGTGGTGGTGAAGGGGATCCCCATTACCTGTAAAGCGCTTTGAGTGGAGTGTCCAGAAAAAGTGCTATATAAGTGTAAGCAATTATTATTATTTTTATTATTATTATTTAGCTTCATATGATTTAAGATGAGATCAGATCATTTTATTGGCCATATCCAGTTTCTTGCATTAGGGTTTTGTCTTCGCAGACCCCAGCTTGCTCTCCGTGAGATACATAGCTTGGAGTCAGAGCGCAGGGTCAGCCATTGTACAGCGCCCCTGGAGCAGTTGGGGTGAAGGGCCTTGCTCAGGGGCCCAACAGAGTAGGATTCCTCTGCCGGCCGTGGGATACGAACCGGTAACCTTCTAGCCACAGGCGCAGATCCTGAGCCACAGAGCCACTGCTCCGCCCTTTTCTATTTAAGTAGAAAAGAATAAAATATAAATATAAATTTCCAAAAGGAAATAAGAAAGAAAGGTTCTACTAGCCAGATAAGAAAGATGACTGATTCAGTAAAATTGTCATTTTTCAGTAAGTTTTTAGCTACACAGATGTATATGTATTTTTGATTTATTTTTTAAATCTTGCTTAGTTTTTCTATTTTTAAGGAGTTCTGAATTATATCCCTCTAAAATATTCCGAAGGATTATTGACTCATTAGCTTTTTTTTTTTACATTTTTCACCATGAGGTAGCAGTGCATCATTCTGTGTTCATGTGTCCTGGGAATGATTTAATCAATTGAAATAAATTGTTAATGGAAAACAGAAAGTAGCAGCTGGCTGAATAAAAAGAAAGATTAGGTTAAGTGAGTGGATGACAGGGGACTGTGTGGGAGCTGCGTTTTTATGTTCCGTGAGATCAAAAAAAATACAGCGGTTTTATTTTAACCCCAGTTTGTCATGGCAACGCGACAGCAATATGAGAGAAATTGAAAACATTTGCTAAATCTTTAAAAAGTCTGAATAAGTGCCTGAGAAGGAGCTATTATTAAATGGAGGTTATTTCCTTGTTAACTCCACATTAGTTTAACTGTAGCAGATTGATCAAATTGCATAGAAGTTATAATAAAATTATTTTTACACCAAAGAACAATGGTGACTTTCACTTATGGGCTGAAATAAGCCTCCCCTCACTGGAATCTGCTCAGATAGACAGAATCCATCCGGTTTGATTGCTGACCCCCTGATACACTGTGGTGAGGCTCCACTCGACTCAACATTATTCTTAGTGACCGGTTTCTTTATGTAGAGTTGTCTCCAAATGAGGAGAGACCAGATTGTGTGATTTAGATCATGTGTCAAGCTTTCGTTTGCCAATAAATGTACCGTACACCATCATATATCATTTTTCATGTTCAATTTGTTTATTGCATTTTCAAGGAAGACAAAGGGATATTACATGGTACCACATATAAATGTCAGTGATCGTCATGGTATGGCAGACTTTGGACCTAAACAAGCTGTATAGACCCCTCATCAATATAAAAAGAGGAAGGAAGAAGGAGAAAAAGGAAACTAGAGGTGTGGGGAAAAAAAGTAAAAATAGGAGTGAAGGGACAGAAGAGCTTCAATGGTGATGAATCTCTTGATTTTTTGCTTTCGATTATTCATTATTTTTGGGTAACAAAGCACTAAACAAGGGAAATGTATCATAAAAATAATACCATTTTCCTCCACATCCCTTTCTGTCCATCCTCAAAAACATTACCAACAGACAACCCATCCACTACTTAATCTTAAGAGTGCTTCAAGGACTAACAAGAAAAAGTAACAATTTAATTAGTTATTTAATAATGGGAATAATAATACACAGCATTTAAATATATTTGATTTCTCAATCGATAAAAATAAGAAATGGGCAGTTAATTCAATCAGAAGCATAGATTTTTCATAAAAGATTCTGAAATACTTCAGACAATAAAACCTTTAAAGGTGGCTTCTTAAAGCACTTTACAGAATAACAATAAATAAAAAGAACACACAAGATAAAACACAATTACGATACACAGAGGAGACCGTGGATGGTGGTACTAAGTAAAGTA